GATGTTAACTACCTCGCCTGGTCTACAGGAAATCGCGGGTTCGATCCCGACCCTGACGCCTGCTGCTGTATATTTGGAGTTTGCGTGTCTCTCTCTCCCCGTGGTCGTGTAGATTTTTTATCCCGGGTCCTCCGGTTTTTCACTCCACGTTTAGAAACATGCGTTTAGAATATTTGGCTGCTATACATTTGCACGTGATAAGCCACGTCGTTGAGCTATCATTTGTGATAGCGAAGTCGCTTCTGATAAAAGAGCTATGTAGCTCGGTGGGCCTTACCTGGTAAAATAAAAATGTTAGTTGGTGGAGGCTCTTACGACACAAATGTGTCCATATCGTTACATGGCCTAACCCAAATATAAATGATAAATCGTGTGTGTGCGATGTTAACCTACAATGCCAGGATCGTGAAACCTAATCTAAACTCAACAGCGAGAGAAACGCACCTTTTACCAAGTTTCAAATGTCTTTGTTAAAAACTAAACACTACTGGGTCCTTTCGCATTCCGCCCAATGGGCTCGTCAACTTTATGGTTGATTTTTGCTGTTGTATAAATGCGTCCGCTGTTGACTTTTAAACTTCATGTCTACCAAAAAACGACGACGATAACAAAACAACAAAACGACGACGGAGATAGACGATTACAATAAGCACGAGATCACCTCTGAGATGTCAGGTGTCCAACCACCCTCCACTGACAACCACAAATCGTGAACAGAGTCAGCAGCTCTTGTAGATCCCTTCCCTGGGCAGTTCCCTCCACCGGGGTTCTCAAGGTTCGCTCGTGAGAGGCAACACTTTGAAATTGACTTTCAGGCGAGTGAGCTCTGACCGCTGAGCCAGCAGTCTCTGACGATCTGGGTTCCAATCCAGGCAGCCGCCTGCGTCGAAACCGAGCGTGGTGGCGAGTTGACTGGCCTCGGCTCCAGATCGGTAACCAATCACCACAATTACATTTGGTTCTGCGATTAATTCGGTTCAAATTCCAGGTGCGAGACTTTAATAATATCCGGTCCGACTGTTTGTGCGACGAAATCTTACTCTCACGTGGCAGTGGGGTTGGTGTGATCTCTGTGTGTGGACCAGAGATCACTTTGAAGGATGGAGAATCTCAGAACTAGTTCTGTGATATCCGCATCAGTGGGCCGTTCGCTAACACGAAGGGTTTGCACTGCTCCGCCAGTTCGGAGTGGATTCTATCCTCTCGCGACCTGAACACGGCACGACCGGGATATGAGAGCCCTTGGTATCTTGGAAAGCGTTCTCCTTGAAACATTAACAATGCACTGACACTCGTAATGTCCTATGTTAATAATATATACGGGGCGATCTATCTATAGCTACCCCGGCTACAATACCAGGAGGTGTAACATTTGCGGTGGGGGAAAAATAGAGCCGCCGTGATTGCAAAGCCTCGAAGCCGATTGCGACGCATTGCACCACGAGCACTCCCTCCCCTTGAGGGACACCGAGCGAGCCACCGCTTCCACAACACTGCCCATCAGCCGCCCAGAGGAAAGTCAAGAGGAGTATTTTAAATGAGTGCGGTATATACATCCACAATACAGGTTTCCGTTTGGGTTGAATCGCGTAAATGTATGAAAGCGTCGTTAACCACCCGACACGGCCAATGCGTGAGGTTTGACACGTAAACGGAACGTGCCAACTCGTTGCTAGTACAGCACCGACTGGTGGGCTTGTATCATGCGCACGCACAATGCACGTTGATTACCATTAATACGCGTTCACTGATGACCCCTCCGCCCCACTTCGCGCAAGAAGAGCTCACAAGTGACGTCATCCACCCACGCCTCTACTTAAGGAACGACTCGGGAGGATTTCTCCACGAATCTGGCTGTCGCCTGATGAAGCTGGTTGAAATTACTGGCGAAACGTCGTACTCGGATTGTAAATGTTGTGGCTTTGCCCTCCAACACACAACTGGTTAGTGCTGTACTAGTGCCCAATTGGCACGACACATTTATATATTTACGTAATCTAACACCAAAAAAACCTCTACTATGGATGATATCGGTCGTGCAAGCCTCCTACGTGTTAGACTGGTATATCCGTAATTGAATCTCCACGTATTGTGCCCTGCCCTTAAGCTGGGACACACAAACTTGAGCAATCAGTTGCGTAACCAAACTGCTCTCGGAATCTTGCAACTCAGTCGTCGCCCGTGACTGCCTTGTCCACGTCTGAGCAATCGGTGAAATCAAACACCGTGTCCGGGATCGTGACGACCGTTCACAGCTCGCAAAGATGAGAAAACGTCACCCAAAATTTCCGAGCAGGTCGCCTGAGAGTCGACTCTGTCTCCAGTGTGAGCGGTAGGCGGCCGCAGAGATGCCCACGTGCAAGGGGTAAAGTTGCGCGCAGCCAAGTTGCGCAACCGATTGCTTCAAGTGCTGTACAGTCACGCACTCAGCCGCGGTCAGTGGGACCACGTCACCCTGTCACAAACCGACAGCTTCGACACAGACGCGTTCACCTCTCCACTATAGCCAATCTCCGAAACAGGAGATTATATTGAAATCGGTGCCCTTTCAAACATTTTTTTTTATACACATCAACAAAGACGAACACCGACATGGCTGATAAGTAACCACAGTGAAACATTACCACGTGTGATATATGGCTGCTGCTGCTGCTGTTGTTGTTATTCCTGCCTCTCTCAAGCGACACTACGATTTGAAACGCACGGGCGGGGGGGGGGGCAAAAACCCTCCTCCGTCTCGTTTCGAATTCTCGGCGCTCGGTCGCTGCTGCTCGCGGACGGCTCCGCGGGTGGAACCGCACGGCACCGCACGGGTCGAGTGCCTTTGCCTCGGGGGGCCGCGGCACGAATCCCAACGACGATTTTCCTTTTTTGCCGTCGAAAGCGCGACCGATGACAAGTCCGGCTGCGTCGGGGTCCCGGTGGGCCGGGCAGACCGGCACGCCGGTCCGTGCCGGTCGGGGCCAAGAGAGAACGCATCTGGGTCGCCTCTCGCTTCGCGAGCGACCCCGCCGGGTTACGGGTGCCCCGGTCCACCTCGGCTCGGCACCAAAGCTTCGTGGCCGGTTCACATCCCTCGCCAGCCTTGCCACGGGGGGGCGACGGCCTCGCGCCTCTCTCTCCGCGCGTCTCGGCCAAACACGGCTCCTGCCGAGGTCTGGTGGCGGGACGGCCCGCGAAGTGGTCGTCTCGTGGCTTAGTCATCCGGGGGGGGGGGGGAGGGGCACGGGGACGGTGCGATGGCTTGTCGAGGAGTGAGTCGTTCCTCGGGTCTCCAATGTGTTCACACATTGTTTTTTTTCTCGAAGGAGAGCAGACGACTTCACTTTTTCGTAACGCGTCACGACGCACATATCTTCTCGCACGTATATATTTTCTTTGCTTTGGAAGTTCGCGCGGTGTTCTAGCGATCCGTCGACAACCGTGAAGTTAACCCAGCGTCGCCTCCGCGTGCGCACGGCGAACGCCAGAGTGCCGATCACATGCAGAAATGTACACGAGCGTGATATGTGTGGCTCACAGGTATCGGCGGGTGCGATTAAATGAGAGGCGATTCCGACAAAGCCCTGCGTGCTGTCGCACGTACAAAGTTGTCCGACCCGCAGGTCGGAATCCGGATACGTTTGGCGATTTCGCTCTTGCCCCAACCGCGATTTCGAGTCCTTCCAAGGTGCCCCCGATTCGCCACGCACGACCCCACACGCTCGACCCCACACGCTCGACCCCACACGCACGACCCCACACGCTCGACCCCACACGCTCGACCCCACACGCTCGACCCCACACGCACGACCCCACACGCTCGACCCCACACGCACGACCCCACACGCTCGACCCCACACGCTCGACCCCACACGCTCGACCCCACACGCACGACCCCACACGCTCGACCCCACACGCACGACCCCCCCCGCTCGACCCCACACGCACGACCCCACACGCTCGACCCCACACGCACGACCCCACACGCTCGACCCCACACGCTCGACCCCACACGCTCGACCCCACACGCACGACCCCACACGCTCGACCCCACACGCTCGACCCCACACGCTCGACCCCACACGCTCGACCCCACACGCTCGACCCCACACGCACGACCCCACACGCTCGACCCCACACGCACGACCCCACACGCTTCGCTTGCCTCTTCGACGTTCTTTTGACCGTACGATGTGGGGACGGCCGGCGACTTGAACCCACGTGGGTGTGTGCATGAAATGCGGCGATATAAAAAAAAAACGAATATGCTCACTCGAGCCACGCCAACACACACACGCACGCACGTGCACACACACGGATCACACACACACTGATCACACACACGGATCACACACACACGCGGATCACAGACACATGGATCACACACACACGGATCACAGACACACGGATCACACTCACACGGATCACAGACACATGGATCACACACACACGGATCACAGACACATGGATCACACACACACACGGATCACACACACACGCGGATCACAGACACATGGATCACACACACACACGGATCACAGACACACGGATCACAGACACATGGATCACATAAACACGGATCACACACACACTGATCACACACACACTGATCACACACACACACGGATCACAGACACATGGATCACACACACACTGATCACACACACACATGGATCACACACACACACGGATCACACACACACTGATCACACACACACATGGATCACACACACACACGGATCACACACACACTGATCACACACACACGGATCACACACACACTGATCACACACACACGTGTTTCCCAGAGACGAGACCGTTGGTCGCGGGCAAGTCTTCATGCGTGCAGCGTAAACGACACATGCACAAAGGTAAACGCTGTGTCTCCAAAACCCAACCGGCCGATTGCATGTGCGTTACGGGCACGTTGTTAGTGGTGGTGATAGTGGTGAGCAAATTTTGTACCGCGTTAGGATATTCTTTACGACTCTTGTCGGACATCGTTCCTTTCTGTCTGATTTTTTTTGCCAAAAACTTGGCAACGTCGCCGCAAGCCACCCACGACACAGCAAACCAAGGAGGGGCGGCGGTTTCACATCGGATCCGTCACGACGTGAAACCCGGCCGCTCGCCAATTTAACTTTCCTTTTCACGTCTGGCGACCCTCTCCTTCGCGGCGACCTCTGCCGCGACGCCGCCGCAGCTGCGCGCGAGACCACCTCCCGAAGCCCCTCCCACCCCACCCGCCTCCACGCACGTGTCACACGGCCCGCGCGCAGACCTCCTCCGTCAGTTCAGGTGGACGGCGCCCTTGTTCCTGGGCGTCTTCTTGAGGTAGGTGGCCCAGTAGACGAGGTTGAAGATTCCGAAGAGCACGGGGAAGACGATGCGCGACAGCTTGTCCACGCGGCTCACGCTGTTGTACGTCTTCTTGTTTTCGGCGGCGGCCGGCGCCGGCTTGTCGCCCGACCGGCCCGCCTGACCGCGGGCCCCGCCTCCTGCCGGGCCGCCGGCCGAGGAGGAGGACGCCGCCGCCGCCGCCGCCGTCGCGCCGCCGCCGGAAGGCTGGCGGCCCGGCCCCGTGACGCCGATGCTCCGCGAGACGGTGGAGAGGCCGTCGCCCGCCGCGCCTGGCCGTGCCGACCGGGCCGCCCGCGTAGCCCGAGGCGCCGACGCTGTAGGTGTTCCTCTTCTTGCGGGCGACGGCGCGCTTCGATTTCTTCTGCGGACACCGCAAACGAGAACGACGGCGACGGGAAACTCGGACAAACGGCGCCCGTCGGTTCGACGTCGAATTATAAGGCCGGCGCGTCGGGTGGAGGTCACTTGCCAATGAAAGGCATCGTGCGTACAACGCTCGTCAGTGGGAGTTGGCCAATCGTTGCACAGTAGGAACGCAGAACTCGGGCGACTGTTGGCGCCGGTCCTGGCCGCACTTCCCATTCGTATGTATGCACCTGTGCGTTGAATTTCTTTCGCACCGTACGTAGCCAACTGTGCCAACCGGAGGTGTGAGACTCGGGTTGTGGCTTCCTGGCTATATAATGACTATCATCGTCGGCTGGTCCCCTGAACCTGATTGGCTCGCGAGTGACGACATCGCATTTATCCCTCGTCTATTTAAGACCGAAACAGAAAGAGGATTTCTCCACAACTGTGGCTGGTGGTTGTTGTTGTTGTAATTACCGGCCAGACGTCACGGCTACTCGAATTGTAAACGTCGTGGCGTTTACTCTCCCGACACACTCCCGGTGCGCGTGCCGAACTAGCCACTAACCGGCACGTTTTGTTTAAGCGACACAAACCTCACCGACTGGCTGCGGTGGGGTTCGCTGCCGGCCGTGCTTAACGACACATTTATATTTACGCGACGATCTATCCCAAAAAAACCACCCCCCTCTATTACGGCTCGTTATTGATCGCCATCATTATCATCAAGCCACCCTATTCTGCAGGGAAACATATTCTCCCGGAGGTGGGGGGGGGGGGGTAGTGCAGGCTCACCTCCTTGTTGACCACGGCCTTGCCGTCCCAGGCCCAGGCCCGCTTGGTGAAGTAGTTGACGGTGGCGAACTCGATGAGCGCCGAGAAGACAAAGGCGTTGCACACGGCGATGAACCAGTCCATGGCGGTGGCGTAGGCCACCTTGGGCAGTGAGTTGCGGGCGCTGATGCTGAGCGTCGTCATGGTGAGCACCGTGGTGACGCCTGGCACGGCAGGGGGAGGAGGCGGAAGGGAGAAACGCCGCCGCCGTCGTCGTCGTTATTGAACGAGCACACGGTGGGGGGAGGGGACGTACACACGTCGAGACGCACGTGGCGGCGACGGTGAACCTGCGATGGTGAACCAGCGAGGGTGAACCTTGCGAGGGTGAACCTTGTGAGGGTTGCGCCGCTACCAAATGAGGAACAAGCAATTTTTTTTCTTCACGAAAAGCATTTCAGTTCAGCGACTGCAGCTCAAACGTAACAATGCGCGAATACAGCGCAACACGTTATGAGGCTAAGTTAATGAAGGTAAATTGTGCACGCCATTCTAAGTACAAATATACACGCGACTTTCATGTTTTTTGCACCTATTCTCCTATTTTATTCAACGTATGTCTTCGTCTCACGAGATTTGGTGTCTATTTGGATCTCTCATAGAGCGCTGCACAACCCCCGTGTTGGAGAACGGCCCGCTGAAGGTGATATCACAGAACTACTTACGAGTTACATTCAAACGACTTCTTACGCAACTATATCTACGAATAACCGAGTAGACCTTAGAAAAGGACAGTGACCAGATGTGGCGTGGCGTGGATGTCCCAACACTTTGAGACATCCACAACATTTCGGAGATGCCACCGGCGATTCTTTGGCCACTCTGCACGCAGCTGCCGAGCACAGCCCCGGAGGCCCAAGGGGCCAAGCGGCCGTACGCACGCGGCTCTGCTGACACCAACAAAAAAACATTTAGCCCGTAACCCAGGGGTCCCCAACCCCCGGGACGCGGACCGGTACCGGTCCGTGGCCTGTTAGGAACCGGGCCGCACAGCAGCAGGAGGTGAGAGCGGTGAGTTCGCGCGTGGCCCGCCCCCATCATTTTATTATTTACCACTTCCGTCCACGCCTCTTTCCCGCACCGCGCACTTGTCTCAGTCACGTGGTGTTGGTAAGGTAAGCCCACAAGCTCTAACCCCTAGTAGCAACAATGAGTAAGCCCACAAGCTCTAACCCCGAGTAGCCACAATGAGTAAGCCCACAAGCTAACCCCTAGTAGCCACAATGAGTGAGCCCACAAGCTAACTCCTAGTAGCCACAATGAGTAAGCCCACAAGCTAACCCCTAGTAGCCACAATGAGTAAGCCCACAAGCTAACCCCTAGTAGCCACAATGAGTAAGCCCACAAGCTCTAACCCCTAGTAACCGCAATGAGTAAGCCCACAAGCTCTAACCCCGAGTAGCCACAATGAGTAAGCCCACAAGCTAACCCCTAGTAGCCACAATGAGTGAGCCCACAAGCTAACTCCTAGTAGCCACAATGAGTAAGCCCACAAGCTAACCCCTAGTAGCCACAATGAGTAAGCCCACAAGCTAACCCCTAGTAGCCACAATGAGTAAGCCCACAAGCTCTAACCCCTAGTAACCGCAATGAGTAAGCCCACAAGCTCTAACCCCAGTAGCCACAATGAGTAAGCCCACAAATTAACCCCTAGTAGCCACAATGAGTAAGCCCACAAGCTAACCCCTAGTGGCCACAATGAGTAAGCCCACAAGCTCTAACCCCTAGTAGCCACAAGGAGTAAGCCCACAAATTAACCCCTAGTAGCCACAATGAGTAAGCCCACAAGCTTACCCCTAGTAGCCACAATGAGTAAGCCCACAAGCTCTAACCCCTAGTAGCCACAATGAGTAAGCCCACAAATTAACCACTAGTAGTCACAATGAGTAAGCCCACAAGCTTTAACCCCTAGTAGCCACAATGAGTAAGCCCACAAGCTAACCCCTAGTAGCCACAATGAGTAAGCCCACAAGCTAACCCCTAGTAGCCACAATGAGTAAGCCCACAAGCTCTAACCCCTAGTAGCCACAATGAGTAAGCCCACAAGCTCTAACCCCTAGTAGCCACAATGAGTAAGCCCACAAGCTAACCCCTAGTAGCCACAATGAGTAAGCCCACAAGCTCTAACCCCTAGTAACCGCAATGAGTAAGCCCACAAGCTCTAACCCCTAGTAGCCACAATGAGTAAGCCCACGAGCTAACCCCTAAGTAGCCACAATGAGTAAGCCCACAAGCTCTAACCCCTAGTAGCCACAATGAGTAAGCCCACAAGCTAACCCCTAGTAGCCACAATGAGTAAGCCCACAAGCGCTAACCCCTAGTAACCGCAATGAGTAAGCCCACAGGCTCTAACCCCTAGTAGCCACAATGAGTAAGCCCACGAGCTAACCCCTAGTAACCGCAATGAGTAAGCCCACAAACTAACCCCTAGTAGCCACAATGAGTAAGCCCACAAGCTCTAACCCCTAGTAGCCACAATGAGTAAACCCACAAGCTCTAACCCCTAGTAGCCACAATGAGTAAGCCCACAAGCTCTAACCCCTGGTAGCCACAATGAGTAAGCCCACGAGCTAACCCCTAGTATCTACAATGAGTAAGCCCACAAACTAACCCCTAGTAACCACAATGAGTAAGCCCACAAGCTAACCCCTAGTAGCCACAATGAGTAAGCCCACAAGCTAACCCCTAGTAGCCACAATGAGTAAGCCCACAATGAGTAAGCCCACGAGCTAACCCCTAGTAGCCACAATGAGTAAAAAACAAACGTCGCTGGAGAGCTTCTTTGAAAAGGGGGAAAGACCCAATATAACCCCCCCCCCCCCCCCCCCCCCAGGTCCGTGAAAAAAATGTCTTCCACGAAACCGGTCCCTGGTGACAAAAAGGTTGGGGACTGCTGCTGTGAACCACGCACACTGAGAGTGCACGTGGCCAACTGCATCGGCCCCGTCTCCTGCGAGCAATTGGCAAGACTCTCCTGAAAACAAAATTCATCTTGAGGCTATCCTGGGTGGTAGCAGTAGCAGAAATAATAACAGCAGATTATTTTGCTGCCATAAATGTCCACGTGATAAGCCAATTCGTTGAGCTATCATTTGTGGCCAGGTTGCTTCTGAAAATACGCTTAGTGGGCTTTGCCTGGTAGGATGGGGATGGTTTAGTTTTATTTGCATGTTTTTGTTTACTTCTCTCACACGTCCATCATGTTTTTTTTATATTGCCAGTTTAACACGTAGGCTTTCACGACCAATATTATCCATAACAGATATGTTTGGGTTATGTCGCGTAAATAAAAATGCGTCGTTAAACCCGCCACAGCCAATTAGTGAGGTTTGTCACGTAAACAAAACGTGCCAATTCGTCACTAGTTCAGCTGTCGCCTGACGATGCCGGTCATAATTACCGGCGAAACGTCACGTTACTCGAAACTATTTAAAAAAAATAGTAACGATTTAGTAACGATTTGGTACGTTTTGTTTACGTGAACAAACCTCGCTAATTGGCTGTGTCGGGTGGTCGCGGTGTTTAACGACACAACATTTATATATTTACGCGATCTAACCGAAACCCCCCCCTCTATCATGAATGATGTTAATGACGCAGAGGATGACAGAATGAACGGCAACAATGCCGGGCTATTCCTGCGCGTCTGCTCTCTGGTCTGAGTGCACACGAAGGGTGCGCAAGTGGGTCAGCGCGTTACACAAGCGGCCCCTATTTCGAAACTATTTTTAATCCTTGCCAGGTGCAGTGCCCACTTGAGCGAGTGACCCGGCTATCACAAATGATCGCTCAACGAAGTGGCTTATCATCATCGCGGGGAAATTTACAGCGGCTAAATAACTCGAAACGCGCACGTCGATTATAAACGTGGAGGGAAAACCCGGAGGGAGCCGGAGGAAAATCCACGCGACCACGGGAAGAGTGAGAGAGACGCGCAAACTACAAATGTACCTTTTAAACTCAACTACAAACAACATTATTTAGTACTTTATCGAGAAAGGCCAACTGAGCCATACAGCTCTTTTTCAAATGGTAGCTCAATGAAGTGGCTCATCACGTGGACATTTATAGCAGCTAAAACACTCTAAACGCGTGATGTCGATTCTATACATGGAGGGAAGATCCTGAGGGATCCGGAGTAAAATCCATACAACCACCGGGAGAGAGAGAGACACGCAAACTCCAAATACACAGCAGGCTTCGTCAGGGTCAGGATCGAACCCACGACCTCCTGCATACCAGGCGAGGTAGTTAACATCTCCTAGCCACAGTGATGATGATGAGAGAGGGATAGAACCCACGACCTCCTGCACACCAGGCGAGGTAGTTAACATCTCCTAGCCACCGTGGCGGCGCTGGGTGGATAAGAGGCGGCGAGGTTACCAGAAGACACCGGAGTGCATAGACGGATTTTGTGTTTAGTTTATCCTTCCCCTCCCTCCAGCACGCCTCCGATGAACACGGTTGTCTCCGTAACGTGCTAAGCACAGTGAACGACTCACTGTGCTGAGCACATTCACACCGCTGGGTGGATACAGGCGGTGAGGTCGGAGGGGGACGTCAGAAACCTGCCCCCCTTATTCGTTCCATCTGCCGTGCCGGGAGAGTGAATCGGAGCGGCGTGCCGACTACGGCACCACAGCGGCAGTGCCCTTTTTCACTTTCATGTTTTTCTTGTTGCACTTTTTCCCCAATTTGATTCCAATGACCAATTACGTCTTCATCTCACGAGATGTGGGTCTCTCACAGAGCACTGCATAACCACCACCACCCCCCCGTGTTAGAGGACGGCCCGCTCAAGGCGATATAGCAGAATTACTTCAGTTATATCCAAAGTGACTTCTTATTTCACCCACGAGAGGGCAGCACTTTCCTACGTAACGTCATATTAAAGTTCACGTGACGGTCAAGCCATCATCATTTTTTGCTATTTAAAATTGCACAGAAGCAATTTTTGCCACATTAAGTGTAACATCGAATTGGACGTGTTGGGATTTTTGCACATTCATTAGTTGCAGGACTCTCAGATCCTCAAACTCGCTTGAGAACTCGGTTTGCTCACAGACGGCTGAAACGCGGATTCGAATGTGGGGGATCCCAGTGGTGCCAGGCGCCTGATACCCAGCCCACCCGGCCACCTCTACTAAGAGAGACCCTCATTGATCAGGATATAATAACACAACCCTTCAGTCGTTCGGTTACTTATCATGATTCTGGACCACGATTTACGTAGGGGAGTGCGAGGGAGTGGGGGGGGGGATTTAAGAAACTTGCACCGTTGTTTAACTACCGCGCTGGGAGATGAAATCAAACCCAGCGACCTCTGGATTCCGAGTCGACCGTGCTGACCATTACACACCACTCTGACAGCAACCCTCAGTATGTATATATATTTTTATTCATATCAATTTGTTTTTGACCGCCGTGCCGAGAGATTGAGTTGAACCGGCGACCTCTGGACCGCGAGGCGTGGCAGCGGTTATCCCTGCGTTTTTGTAAAACTGATGTGAAATTGACTCGGGAGGCAAGACCGTTTGTCTCCTGCCTTGGCAGCCAGCCGTGAGCTCTGAGGGGCGATCGATGGCGGAAGTCAGGGGCTTCAACATTTTCCAGCGATGAAGAGGTCAGGGAGGTTATTTGTATGACCCCCCCCCTCCGGATATCGCATGCATCTCTGGTGTCAGACCGACAGCGCTGACCCTCATCGATTTGAGAGTTTTGACACCAACCGCGTCTTCGCTGTCACAATTGAGCCATGCGTGGTGGCGTTATTCCATTTTGGGGACGTCGAGGCAGTGGCCTCATGAAGCCCTTTGTTATAACATCATAGCCATATTTAAAACGGACTTCCTGGTAATTTTACATTCAAAATGGAATTCCTGCCGGCTTGTTATACATTCCTTAACCACAATCATCCACCACCGCAGCGCACCGTCAGATATTTCCATGCCTAAATCCCAGGCATGCAAGCTCAGAAAAAATGATAACGAAGCATGACCGAGTTAAAAGCCCGAGATGCCGTGCCTCGCAGCTATTAAAAAGTAAATCCTAGCGGTGAAATCGGCAAAGTCTTCTTTCAGCATGCGTTGGCATTATGAATTTTTTAAACGGAAAAAGTGCCGAGCGCCCGTTAGACTTGCAGCCGTACGCTTCTCTGAGCTGCGATTATTTAAAGAAAGATCTCCCTTCCCACTGCCTGGGAGCGAGGCCATTCAGATCCCGTTTGAGTTGCCTGCCGAGGTGCGCGGCGATTCCGCTGTTGAATCGCTGGAAAATGTCATCCCGTCGGCAGTCCTCGGGACTTTCAGAATCGGCGTGTGCAAACACGTACATCGGCGCTCCGAGTAGGACAAAAATAAACGGAGTCGTCATCTCCCGTTGCTCAAATGAGCATTTCTGCGTTCGCGCTCTTCCTATTTACAGCCACGCTGCAAGAGTCAGTGGTGGAAATTCCACGCTCCTATGGCGGGGGGTGGTGGGAGGAGAAGTCTCCCCATAGGGCAAAGCACCGTTGCGTTCACACACAAAGTGAGATACTCTTGGCAAGTGTTGAACATTCCCGATTCTGCTGATGAGACCCGGTTGAGTTTGCGTGCTGCAAATGATGTCGTTCTTAACCTCTACTGCAGCCGAGCACCCCTTAGGATCCCAATCGTAAAAACAATGTCGAATGTTTATAAACACAGAGGCTTTGATGAAACAAATTAGTTGTTACTTACGTGTCGGTGCTTGCATTTTCGATGATTTACCTTCTAAAAACATACGTCTATGTCTCACACCCCCAGGGGGTGCGTGATGCACAGCAGGTTAAGGACCCCCGTGCTAGACAATATTGGTTCTGGAAAGCCAGCGGGCTGATGGAATAAAGCAGATTTGTTTATATTTATGAGCCAGAATGGAGTTCTGTTGACAAGTATTATCACGCACAGTGATGCCTGCGTTTGCAATCCACCGTCACTGATGCACGTGGTTCGTTTTAACGCAAGCCCCGTGAGGAATTGCATAATAAAAGACAGAGAGAGAAGAGATGCACGGTCTTTGCTAATTTTATACATTATAAAAAATGTTAATTACTGATAACGGTAGGCGGCGACTTCAATCATGTCACTGTGACATGACAGCCTCGTAATAGGTAATACCGGCATATCCATTATCCACGGGGTAGCAATGATCACAACTCACTGGGTGTGTTTGTGACAATCACCAATGTCAATTCAACCGTTAATGATCAATAAGAGTGTTGCGACTAAATAAACGAGGTTTTGTGCCTTTGTAACTAATTGTTTCGCTCGTCCTGACACGGAACTCGCCTCGTGTCCTCTGGGACTTGTTGTCGCCGCTGTTGTTTTGATGCCTTGCCCGAGCTTGGGAATTGGCGAACTTGTAACAATTTGAACTTGTGTTTGTTTTTTTCGTGATTTGCTGACCTGTCCTACACTTGGAACTTCTTGACCCCGTGCCCCTACTGGACACCTGTGAAGAAGAGCTTGAAAGCTCACCGCGGGTGATCACGTGATTGTCGTGACCCGCGGGTTCAGCGCTGCTTAAGACTTATGGGGCGCGTCGGTGCTCAAAATGCAAAAAATGGCGGCGGGGTTTTTTTTTCATTGTTCGTAGCGCGAAGCGAATCGCACCTCCGATCAGCACGGTTGGCTCTCCGTGCGGTGCGAGAGAAGCTCAACGTGCGCACGTGCGCACGTGAGTTCTTTGAGTACGTGAGTATGTACGTGAGTTTTTTGAGTACGTACGTGAGTTCTTTGAGTACGTGAGTACATACGCGCGTACGTACGTTGGTAATGCGATGCGTACGTACGAAGCAGAAAGATTGGCACCAACTCCGCCAACACTTGGTGAGGTCGTTTTTCTTTTACTCACCACAGGCGACGACCTCAGAGAACGGTGACTACGATCCGATCGAAAATCACGACGTTCGTGCGCACGCGCGTGTAAGCGTCGGGACTGCAAGTTGTTGACACTCGCCAGGTCTGCATAAGAGACTTCAAAGGAGAAATGTGGTTTCTGTTCAGGCCTTTATAAGTTCGACGGCGTTCTCAAGAACTTAAACCTCTTTCATAAAAGAGCTTCGTCAGCTCAGCGGATTCCTCCAGTATAAATAAAGATTCCGAGGCTTTTGCCGACGGCCACTCAGTGGCCGCCCTGCCCACCGTCACACCTCCCCATCTGCAACCCATAAGCCTCGCTGGCTGAGCACAGGACGTGAGGAACAATCCGCCCTTTTCAAAGCTGTCAACCCATTACCAGTGCCCTACCTTCTCACAGACCAATTCAGACCTTATTGGTCACCCCGTGCCCCTTATAAATCTCAACGTTCATCCTACACAGTCCCATCACAAGGGAGAAACACAAACAATTAGACCAGAAAAATGTTGCCCTGTACAAGAACACGGGGTGAATCCGTGTGGGTTGACAGCTGTGCCTCTTACCATGGACACAATCGAGGCCATGGGGAGAAGAGACTGATCAGAAAGCTTCGTCGTTTATAGCATTCCTCCCACCGTCTAAATAAAGACTCCGATTCTGATATGCATCATCCTGATCTATGCAATTCCCGACAAGACGTAGGTGGTAAGTGCAAGACCCGATGAAGTCGCTTACATTACATTCTAAGGTGAGATATTCGTTCGAGTGTAATCCCCAGAAACGTGAGATTGCCCCATGGTTTGGTAGGGATTGAGCAGTAGGTCGTGGTGAACCAATCAATAGTTCGAGTAACTTTCATTGGTGCTGCTTGTTGCTGGCTGTGTGCAGTTTTGGTGGCCATCTTTGGGCCTGCACCCCGCAATCGTGATTATAGAAACACACCGGTGAAGTATGGTCAAGCGTGCACTCACCAAACACGGTCCGAGCTGGGACGGACTCTCTGTTGAGCCAGAAGGAGACCTGCGACAGGATGACCGTCATGATGCAGGGCAGGTACGTCTGGATCACAAAGTATCCGATCTTCCGCTTCAGGTGGAATTCCGTCACCAACACGACGTACTCCCCTGCAAGTGCAACACACGTGTGTAGTGAGTGCAACACACGTGTGTAGTGAGTGCAACACACGTGTGTAGTGAGTTCAACTGAGTTGCAGAAGTACTCTTTGGAGGCAACACATTTATTGATACCAACACAAAGGGGTAACTGCCCCTTCACCAGATAACAACGTCTGGTGGTGGACCACCAGGCTACACTACACACTATGGTGGTGGACCACCAGGCTACACTACACCCAATGGTGGTGGACCACCAGGCTAGCTACACACTATAGTGGTGGACCACCAGGCTAACTACACACTATGGTGGTAGACCACCAGGCTACACTACACACTATGGTGGTGGACCACCAGGCTAACTACACACTATGGTGGTGGACCAGCAGGCTACACTACACCCAATGGTGGTGGACCACCAGGCTAGCTACACACTATGGTGGTGGACCACCAGGCTAACTACACACTATGGTGGTGGACCACCAGGCTAACTACACACTATGGTGGTGGACCACCAGGCTAACTACACACTATAGTGGTGGACCACCAGGCTAACTACACACTATGGTGGTGGACCACCAGGCTATACTACACACTATGGTGGTGGACCACCAGGCTAACTACACACTATGGTGGTGGACCACCAGGCTAACTACACACTATGGTGGTGGACCACCAGGCTACACTACACACTATGGTGGTGGACCACCAGGCTAACTACACACTATAGTGGTGGACCACCAGGCTACACTACACACTATGGTGGTGGACCACCAGGCTACACTACACACTACGGTGGTGGACCACCAGGCTACACTACATACTATGGTGGTGGACCACCAGGCTAACTACACACTATGGTGGTGGACCACCAGGCTACACTACACACTATGGTGGTGGACCACCAGGCTAACTACACACTATGGTGGTGGACCACCAGGCTAACTACACACTATGGTGGTGGACCACCAGGCTATACTACACACTATGGTGGTGGACCACCAGGCTACACTACACACTATGGTGGTGGACCACCAGGCTAACTACACACTATAGTGGTGGACCACCAGGCTAACTACACACTATGGTGGAGGACCACCAGGCTAACTACACACTATAGTGGTGGACCACCAGGCTAACTACACACTATGGTGGTGGACCACCAGGCTAACTACACACTATAGTGGTGGACCACCAGGCTAACTACACACCATAGTGGTGGACCACCAGGCTAACTACACACTATGGTGGTGGACCACCAGGCTAACTACACACTATAGTGGTGGACCACCAGGCTAACTACACACTATAGTGGTGGACCACCAGGCTAACTACACACTATGGTGGTGGACCACCAGGCTACACTACACACTATGGTGGTGGACCACCAGGCTAACTACACACTGTAGTGGTGGACCACCAGGCTAACTACACATTATTGTGGTGGACCACCAGGCTACACTACACATTATGGTGGTGGACCACCAGGCTAGCTACACTAATCACACCGTAACTAGCTATGTAACCACCAGGCTAACTACACTAATCACACCGTAACTAGCTACGTGACCACCAGGCTAACTACACTAATGACACCATAACTAGCTACGTGACCACCAGGCTAACTACACTAATTACACCGTAACTAGCTATGTGACCACCAGGCTAACTACACTAATCACACCGTAACTAGCTACGTGACCACCAGGCTAACAACACTAATTACACCGTAACTAGCTACGTCACCACCAGGCTACACTACACTAATCACACCGTAACTAGCTAAATGACCACCAGGCTAACTACACTAATTACACCGTAACTAGCTACGTGACCACCAGGCTAACAACACTAATTACACCGTAACTAGCTACGTGACCACCAGGCTAACTACACTAATTACACCGTAACTAACTACGTGACCACCAGGATAAGTACACTAATTACACCGTAACTAGCTACGTGACCACCAGGCTAGCTACACTAATTACACCGTAACTAGCTACGTGACCACCAGGCTAGCTACACTAATTACACCGTAACTAGCTATGTAACCACCAGGCTAGCTACACTAATCACACCGTAACTAGCTACATGACCACCAGGCTAACTACACTAATTACACCGTAACTAGCTACGTGACCACCAGACTACACTACACTAATCACACAGTAACTAGCTACGTGACCACCAGGCTAACTACACTAATTACACCGTAACTAGTTACGTAACCACCAGGCTAACTACACTAATTACACCGTAACTAGCTACGTGACCACCAGGCTACACTACATTAATTACACCGTAACTAGCTACATGACCAGGATAACTACACTAATTACACCGTAACTAGCTACGTGACCACCAGGCTAGCTACACTAATCACACTGCTGGGAGTAGCGACAACGGACAGGACCCCAGCTTGGGTCCAGATTCTTCAGGATAACCACAGCAGCCGGTCCCTCTCGGGGATCCTGCTTTTATCCTCCGTGGTGTGGCCTGCTCCGGCTTTAGCCACGACCACCTTCGAGAACCCTCGAGCAGGATCTCGGCCCTGACACGTGACCACCCCTAGCCCCCACCTGGGGGCCCTGTGTAGACTTTACCAGTCACGTGTCCTCTGGGGTCAACCAGAGTGCCATGGCCCTTAGTAACCCCATTCCCGTGGCAGGGCACTCTCACACCCTATCCTGTAGGGGTCGGCACTGCACGCAGAGCGTGGTGCCACTCATCACTGCCAGTGAGTGCTCACCGAGCCCCTCTAGGGCTGGTACTGCCCCCACATGTGAGTGGTGCCCGCGATGTCGACTCATCTCGAGCCGTGCCTCTTTAGGGCCGGCATCACAGTGACATCCGCGATGTCACTACACACACACAGAGCCTCAACACACCGTCGGGGGCAAGTGCTGTTAGCGAACACGTACGAAGGCCAGTACAGCAGATCAGGGGATGAGCGGCCTAGCACCATGCCTAGCCGCCGATGTTTATGCACTGCGCAAGCTACTCGTTTCAGTCCGAGTCTATCTAGGGGAGACCCAGGACGGGTTTGAGACATTACTTGCCACGAACGTCAGCCGCGGCTTGGAATAAAACCCGGCCTGCCTGCCGGGTTGGTAGCGCGGCACTTTGAGCGACGCACGACCACTCGCACAGAACAACGCTGGCCAGGCCAGGTGAACTTTGACGACACGTAACGTGCGGAAAGCTCGCTGGCGGGCCACGGGACGAGACGCGGAATGCGATTGGTTAACGGACACGAGCCAGCAGACGCAGCACCTGCGCTGTGCCACCCGTCTGTCTCTGAGGCCGGCTGCTGCTCAACACCACGTGCTGATGACTTGGCGACTGTGCTCTGTGCCAGGCTAGGTGCACCGTTGATGCCACGTGTGGCAATGGGAGAGACCCAGGTGTTACGAGTTCACAGACCCGGAGTAATTTGCTGACAAGGTGCCTAACCTATATCCCCCCCCCCCCCCCCACTGCGCGCACACTCTCCTGACACTCACATCCCAGTGTCCTTTTTAAATTATCTGTCCGCTGCGGCTGGCGGCGTGTACAAAGAGCGAGCATCCACCCCGTCACCGTGGCGAGTGGCCGTTATTGAGAGCGCTGCCAGGAGTGTGGCTGCCAAGGACTGCAAGAGGACACGTCGTCCTCTTCGGGTTACCTGCCGGTATAGATTTTGTTCGGCCAGTTTCGTCCCCACTGTGCTATCGGTGTCACAAAACGACCGTTTGAAACCCCTGAAAACCCACATCAATGTAATAATAGCGAGCGAGCCAGCGTTATTTTTTGAGATCATCATTTGGCGACGCCGTTGAGTGGGCAGCGGTGCAAGAGCACTGATAGCAACGAGATCGCTGGAAACACGTTCGTCAATAAACACTGCGTGGCCTTAAAAATACATGTTTCATTTCGGGGCAATGGGTCGTTCTTCACGGCACTCCGCTCTGGCTTCTCAATGTACTGTGGGGAAGGGCCATTAGGTGGTGTTTAATATTAGTGTCTGACTAGTGAGCGGGACTATGTTGATGTCGCTCGGCTGGCCTGGGAACGTCTGGGAATTCCCCAGGAAGAGCTAGAGTCTGTGTATAGTGTAGTAGTGTATAGTGTAGTGTAGTAGAGTAGTAGTGTATAGTGTAGTGTATAGTGTAGTGTATAGTAGTGTAGTGTATAGTAGTGTAGTGTATAGTGTAGTGTATAGTGTGGTAGTGTATAGTAGTGTAGTGTATTGTAGTGTAGTGTATAGTGTAGTAGTGTATAGTGTAGTAGTGCATAGTGTAGTGTAGTAGTGTATAGTGTAGTAGTGTATAGTGTAGTGTATAGTGTTATAGTGTAGTAGTGTAGTGTGGTAGTGTATAGTGTAGTAGTGTATAGTGTAGTAGTGTATAGTGTAGTAGTGTATAGTGTATTTGTGTAGTGTAGTAGTGTATTAGTGTAGTGTAGTAGTGTATAGTGTATAGTAATGTAGTGCTGGAGTCAGTCGCCAGGGAAAGGGAGGTGTGGACCGCCACGACTCAACACGCCGCTGCCGCCCCCATGGCCCTCACCAGGACAAGGGGACTGAGAAACGAACCAACTATGCTCGTTTTTTGTTTTTCCCGCTTAGTTTTAAATTGAGTTTACTCTTTTATGGTCATGAACAGACGTCCAGCACTGAATTCCACAACAGCTGTCGAGTCACTTGCCCCGGTGGCAGCACAGTCGGTGACACTCACGCCTCCCAGAAAGAAGGGTCATGGGTTCGACTCCTGACACTGTGTTGATAAGTTTGTTGTATTCTCCCTGCTCTGCATGCGTTCCCTCCGGGTTCCTCCCATAGCTATGTAACCGGTATTGACCAAAACATCACAATGCTAGAAAAATAACTAAAAAATCACCTTAAAATTGCTCAATTTGGATCGCACACACAGCGCCAACATCACCCCCATCCCTACTCAAAAGCACTCGGTCGGAACCGTCCAAAAAAACGCAGACTCGCTCCTGTCCAGGAAAGAGGGAAGGCTTTTCTGTGTCAAACAAGAGTCATATAAACCAAACTACAGATAGTGGCAGCGGAACGCAGGCGCGCGCTGGTCTATCGAGACAAACCCGTGCTGGACTTGATGTTGGAGGTGCTGGCCGTGTAGTGCATCAGCTGGTACTGGTTGGTGCGCGAGCCGTCCTCAGCAACTTCCACCGAGTAGTTGGTGCCGTTTTTCCACCTGTAGATCACCTCCTTGTTGGTGTAGGCGTCTGCTGAGCGTGCATCAGTCACAGCCAACGCAACCCCCGCGGTCGTCATTCACCGCGGCCGTCGTTCACCGCGGCCGTCGTTCACCGCGGCCGTCGTTCACCGCGGCCGTCGTTCACCGCGGTCGTCGTTCACCGCGATCGTCGTTCACCGCGGTCGTCATTCACCGCGGTCGTCATTCACCGCAGTCGTCGTTCACCGCGATCGTCGTTCACCGTGGCCGTCGTTCACCGCGGCCGTCGTTCACCGCGGTCGTCGTTCACCGCGATCGTCATTCACCGCGGCCGTCGTTCACCGCGATCGTCATTCACCACGGTCGTCATTCACCGCGGTCGTCGTTCACCGCGGCCGTCGTTCACCGCGGTGACGGCGGGCGGCCGTCGGCAAACCCCACCGCGCAGGGGCGGTGACGCGTTCCGGCGGAAGTGCCATTGGCACCTTTCTTTGCCAGTACCGACGAATGAGAAATAAGAATCGGCTTTAGCCTTTCTGGCAACAAAACAGAAGATGTTGAGACGTTCAAACACCAAATAGATCACTTCTTGCAAGGGATCAAGTGCTGCATTAAGCACACACAGTACTTGCAGTGAACATACAAAGAAACATGCTCTGATTATATAATGCGCTTATCTTTGAAATTGATTGGCCTACACCAGAGACAGCCTTCGTTAGGTCCTAATATCACCAGTGTCAGAGCAGAGAATGCCAAAAGGCCAACAGTACACAGTCAATACACGTGTCAGAGCACTTCCAGCTCGGTTTGAACTAGAAGCGGCAGTGAGTTGGCCGTTTTATGGCAAAGGTTCGCAATTCGAACACCGCGGCGCGCATTAACCGCGGTAAATAAATACCACGTGCCGTCTGCCTCGCATTGAACGTTCAAAAGATCGCACGACGTCATTTGAAACGAACGGGCCATTCGTGCGATCCCGTGTCACGGTCCGACTTTGCTCAATTCAAATCACAGTAAAACCTTGGATTGCGAGCATAATTCGTTCCGGAAACGTGTTTGTAATCCAAAGCACTCGTGTATCAAAGCACTCGTCTATCAGTTGTGATCACGTGACGCTCGGCAGACAAAGCGTCTACGTACACTGCTCGTATTGCAAGACCCTCACTCGTTTATCAAATTAATATTTATTTACAATTTTTTGCTCGTCTTGCGAAACACTCGCGCACCAAGCTACCCTCGCAATCCGAGGTTTTACCGTACCCGCAAATCAGTCAAATTGGGATTACGCACTCTGGATTCACAGGCCCTGCACCGAGTCCAGCTCACGCTGCACGGGGACCGCTGCCTCTGCGGCGGTGCCCCTTACGAACGCATCGAGACGAGAGGTGGCGCACCGCAAGCCGCGAAGCAGCGCGTTAAGAGCACTCCCAGACGCCCCGGGCGTAAAAGATCGGCGGGCTCCATCGCGGAACACGTTCTCGTAATTGTCACAATTACCGCGCTCATAACGACTCGCTGACACGCTCGTCAAGAACACCGTGGACCTGAAACAAAAATAGGCGACGTTTTTAGGTTTAATCTTCCTTCTTCAGAGGGCGAAACGATTTCGCGACATAAACACCCACGGTTATGGGGGTCACACCGTGTGCAAAGCATCAGAAGCAGCGCGTCAAGTAGGTTTTAACGCTGCCCGAATCTTTTGCATGATGTGTTCTACTCCGGGTTCTCAAAGATTCCTCCCGTACGGTGTCCAACGCCCATTGTTTAAACTGACTCAATGAGCTTTTCCCCTGGATAAATGAGCACGAGATGTTTCCGTAATGTTTGCATTGTGAGTCAAGTGCTGTAACCACGGCACCACTCAACTGGATTAGCGTTAAATGACAATAACGTCGAGTGTGCGTGTATATATTTAGCTCGCCACATTTAAATTGTATAACCTCGCGAGAGTCACTCTCGCATATTATTCTCTGAATTATACGACGCACCCTTCTCTCTCTGTGTTTTATGAAGATGCAGCTAAAATATATATTAATTTGTGGTGTGCATCTGATAGTCTGGTGGGTGTGCTTGCTGTGCAATCCGGCGGGGAGCGGCGAGGGAGCAGTTCGCGCGCTGCGCTATGAGCACCGTCATCCCGGTTGGATTCCTGCTCACAGTCAAGACCAATGACGACCATCGGATCCCGTCTTGGGCCTCCCCTAGGTCGCCCCAGCCTCAAATGAGTACCTGGTGCTGCGCGTAAGCGTCGGCATTCGGGAGACAAAGGCGGCCGGGCGTGGTGCTGGCCACCCATCCCCTTCGTGTGCCGTGCCGGCCTTCATAGGTGCTCGCAAACAGCACTTGCCCCGAAAGGACTGTTGAGGCTATACGGGGGATATTTGTCTTTGTGCAATCCCGTGTCACGGCGGCGTGTTTGGCAACGTGTCTACATCTGCTTTCACATCATAAATAATTGACAGCATCGGTCACACGCCCAGCAAGTCAACATGAAACAGAATACTCACAGCTGCCAAACTTCAGCGGGCAGGCGTGGGTGTCCATCGGGAAGTCTTCGAGGATCATGGGACACTCCGCTTTCACCGTTAACCTGTTGAACGTAAACGGAGGAAGAGAGGGTATGTAAAGGCGCAGCCCTGCAAGTGCTCACGCCGGAGCTGGTGAAAGGGGCCTCCGGTAGACAGAGAGGGGGGGGGGGGGGAGGCTCCAAAGGCCGCTGTAAAGGGTGCATGATCGAATATGTCACACGCTGGTCGGACGTCTTGAGAGATGTGGGAGTTCCCCACACTTGACCCCACCACACACATTTGTACCAATACACGATTGTGGTGACTGGCGGGTGAACACGCGATTGTGGTGACTCGCAGATGAACACACTATTGTGGTGACCTACGGGTGAACACACAATTGTGGTGACCCGCAGATGAACACGCTATTGTGGTGACCCACGGGTGAACACACAATTGTGGTGACCCGCAGATGAACACACGATTGTGGTGACCCACGGGTGAACACACGATTATCGTGACCCGCGGGTGAAGTGCTGCTTAAGAGTGCGTTGGTGCTCAAAATCAAAAAGTGGCGGCGGGGTTTTTTTTCACCGTTCGTAGTGCGAAGCGAATCGCACCTCCGATCAGCACGGTTGGCTCTCCGTGCGGTGCGAGAGAAGCTCAACGTGCGCACGTGCGTACGTGCGTACGTGAGTTCTTTGAGTACGTGAGTATGTACGTGAGTTTTTTGAGTACGTACGTGAGTTCTTTGAGTACGTGAGTACATACGCGCGTACGTACGTTGGTAATGCGATGCGTACGTACGAAGCAGAAAGATTGGCACCAACTCCGCCAACACTTGGTGAGGTCGTTTTTCTTTTACTCACCACAGGCGACGACCTCAGAGAACGGTGACTACGATCCGATCGAAAATCATGACGTTCGTGCGCACGTGCGTGTAAGCGTCGGGACTGCAAGTTGTTGACACTCGCCAGGTCTGCATGAGAGACTTCAAAGGAGAAACGTGTTTTTTGTTCAGGCCTTTATAAGTTCGACGGCGTTCTCAAGAACTTAAACCTCTTTCATAAAAGAGCTTCGTCAGCTCAGCGGATTCCTCCAGTATAAATAAAGATTCCGAGGCTTTTGCCGACGGCCACTCAGTGGCCGCCCTGCCCACCGTCACACCTCCCCATCTGCAACCCATAAGCATGGCCGATTCCAACTTTCCGCGCGTCCGCAATGCACGCGGGGGTACGCCATACTTCCCAGGCTTTACACCCCGGCGGAGGATACCTAGAACTTTGTCTGACGGAGGATAACCCCTAAAAACTCTACGAATTGTGACCTTATCAATTGCATACAATGGCGCCGGAAGATCTCATGGGGAAAAACCCCAATCCTTGGTGAGCCCAGCCCAGAAACGTGCAGCACTGACTGAGGAAATGAGAACGGAGGGGGGGAGGGGGGTCACGTGATGCGGACAGCGTCTTACCCCCCCCCCCTCCTTCCGAGGGGGTAGGAGGGGTTAGAGCCCCTGTCCGATACAAATTTTAGTTGTATTAATACGTTCCTGAGTGCCCAGTACAGGATAAGGGTCGAATGTCACCCGCTCTGAGTGTGATGGTGACTATCCGTACGAATAATAATCATGACCATCGTTGTTGTGAAGAAGACAAACCCACGGGCCACCATCAGAGATTTGTTCACGAAGCCATCCAGATATACAAACACAGACAAAACTTTAATTGAGAAGACGGATTCAGATTGAGCAATCATTGGAATGATGTGATAAACCGCGTCAAGTTTCAACTGCTGTGATTTCACTCACCCACCCGTGTGTCTTGTTGTCCCATTACTAATTCAAGTCCATTTACTTGTTAATTTCTCCAGCCCCACCCATCCCTGCACGCCACAAACCCTCCCCCACCTCCCCCTGTGAACTCCTACAGTAAACATCACCACTGGCGTGGTGCTGGAAACCAAACCCCTCGTGTGCCGGCCTTCATTAGGTACTCGCTAACAGCACCGGCCCCAACAGTCTGTTAAGGCTATACGGAGGATCTTTGTCCCATGTGTGTCAGTGAACATGGGCTGCAGGACAAATACGTTTCACGTCGGGACTTCTACATTGACATCAACCACCGAGTGGACGCCATTTCGTGGAAGGGTGTCCCATGAAAACCCCGCCGCCGAGGAAGCCGTGCGGTTGCGTGGGTCAGCCGTGAAGATGTACTAATGTCGTATTGATCAAGACCCGGAGGTCCATCAACACGGGGCAACGATGTCGATGCCTCCATGCCTCTCCATCGATCGTTCCCTGCCCCTTCAGTCAGATCCTGTCGCCGCTGCGCAGTCGTCACCTGACCTTCAAGGTCCGCTCCCACACATCCTACCGCGACCCGCCCGCCTCTTGCTCTTGACCCCTGGGTGCCATGTCAACGCCCGTCTCGGTAACATGCCCTACTTCATTCTGGGCACATTTGTCCCACTCATTATTATCATCTTGAGGCGCCCTAGGGGAGGGGAACCCCCTAGTGGCGGCAGTCCCTTGCCGTGGATAATGCTACTTTAGATGCACTCTCATGCGTGCACACTCGTATTCACTTTCTCAGTGCAAAAGCAATAAAACAATAATACTCAATCATCCGCTGAATTAATAAGGGCTTCCCCATGCCATGTCGGTCATGGGGGTTGTTGAATTATATTTCTCCGTGCTGCTAACCATAGGGGGAAGAGTTCGATTTCAGAACTGCTTTGGATATTACGGAGCCACACCTCTCGATTAGCATGGTTAGCTATGTACGGTGTGAAAGAAGTTCAACACGCGTACGTACGTACGTACAAGAACACAAGGTAAACGCAGCACCGGCATGCGAGTGCAAAATAGTCCACCAGTAGGAGGCGGGCGGTGAGGGGGGCAATGTTGCGATGCGGCTTCGTGACATTTGACCGGCTCTTTTGGGAATTGACAACAGATTTTTTTGGGGAGAGATCCCGTAAATATAAATGTGTCGTTAAACCCGCCACATCCCGACACGGCCAATTAGGAATGTTTGTCACATAAACAGAACGTGCCCAATTCGTTCCTCGTTCAGCACGCCGGTTGTGTGTTGGACAGTAAACCCACGACAATGTTTACAATGCGAGTAGCCATGACGTTGCGCCGGTAATTACAACAACCGGCCAGCCTCGTCAGGCGACAGCCAAAGTTGTGGAGAAATCCTCCTCCTGGTTCGGTCTTAAATAGACGAGGGATAAATGTGATGTCATCACTCGTGAGCCAATCAGGTGCGAGAGACCAGGGGGTTCAATATATAAATATAATATTACAATGGATATTCATTACCGGTCGGGTCATTCATTAAAAACCAAATAGATAGTTTTAGTGTGCTTGAAGCTATTGCTTTTTGCTTCAAAGTCTTCCATGTACAGATTTCTGCCTGTGCGGGGGATTGCCTGTGAGGCAGACCGCGTGTTTTATAGATAGGGGCGCCACGGTGGGGAGATGATAACTATCTCACCTAGTATACAGGAGGTTGTGGGATCGATCCGAACACTGACGCCTGTATATTTGGAGTTTGCATGTTCTCTCTCTCAGTGGTTGCGTGGATTTTTCTCCGGGTCTTTTCCGTTTTTTTCCCCTCCACGTTTAGAATCAACGTCACGCGTTCACAGCCATTGCAAGCTATACATCTCCACGTGATGATAAGAGCTATGTAGCTCAGTGGGCCCTTACCTGGTGAAATATAAAAAATTTGGTTTTAGTAAAATATTTATGGTTAACAGTCAACTACGGTGATAAACAGGGCGGCAAATAAGCTGCGTGGTCACCTGACTGTCCCAAATGCCCAAATAACGTAAAGTTTAAATTTCGATTTAAAGCTTTCGTGACTGCAGGGATTCATCTTCTTGGTTCTTTCGGTAAAGTCACCTCGTAGAATTTTTATTATTTTATTTCCATTCTACGTGACTTTACCGAAAGAACCAAGAAAACATAAAGTTTATTCATAATAAAGTTTTTTGTGTCATAACCGTCCACCACCCGACGCAGCCAGGAGGTTAGTGACGTAAACAACGCGCCAATTAGTTTACTACTTCAGCCCACCGGTGTGTTGCAGAGTAAATCCACAACGTTAACGTGGTTTCTGTGGTTCACGTCGCAACGCAGAGCCACTGCAGCTGACGCCAGATCAGCATGATGTATGCGTAGGGGTGTTCAACGGCTTGTAATGTATTTTTAACAACAATAACCCCTTCAAAGGCGATTGTCTCAGAGGGTTAGTTCGAGTTAGGAGTCGTGGTCAGGGCGGGATTTAATGGTGAAGCACATAAACCAGGGAAAATTTTCCGACGGCAGCGTGTGCCTGCGTTTTTAATAATGTCAGCTCCGTTGTGCTGTACCGACAATATCGTAGAGCTTTATGGCTGTCTATGTGATGTACGGAAAGAATATTGCCCATATAGCCTCTCCAAATCTCAGTGAGATGTGTGGCTCTCTTTTGAATTCCAAATGGTTGCGATATCAAATGTAATATGCACATACAACCTGAATACATTGTTGCTTGGAAGTGCTGGGCTATTATGAATGTAAGTCCAATGCATTTGGCATTAAATAGAAATACATAATTTCAGATCTTCGGCGTTCATCCATTTTTCATAACGCAAGGCTATCACGGAGTAAGGTGCTGCTCTACCCACACACGAGTCTGCATTAGTCTGCCAGGAGGGCCCGATGTTGCTGTGTTTCCCAACGTAGTAATCTTTCAAATGTGGACCATGACGCCCATAGATTTGACATAACAGCATGCCACCATCTGCTCTTAGGCCTTCTCTTCCCCCTTAGCTGCTAACCTCTGGGTGCTACTGCAACGGCTATCTTGGGAACAGTGCCCTCCCCATGCTGCACGTCTCACCTAGTGCAGACATTCTCGCTAAATTAATATCTCTTATATCCTTTTTTGGGCCAGTATAAAAAAATGATGAAAAACAAGATTTGGTTTGACCCTTTCTGGCAATACCAAATGGATACCTTTTGTAAGGCAATAAAGCTGCATTGACCACAGGTACTTGTGGCAAAACATGCAAACCAACATGCTCCGAT